CAAGAGATGTCTCACCTTGCTGTGCCTGAGTTTCCACATCTCCAAAATTGAGATGATGCAGGGGTCTCGCAAAGTTAAATTCACCAGAGCAAATCTGAGTTATTCTTAATGTATAAAATACTTCAAAAATACATTCAGTCTATCCCCTAAAATTGTAGTTAGGAACACAACAGCTATCTCCAGAGTCCTTCTATGGACATAATGGCTACAAGACTTACTCTACATTTTGGGTGCTTTACTTGTTTAGATAAATATTCTGCAGAATGCGTGCGTTCCCAGGATTTTGTGTTTACCCCAGGCAGTAATGGCTTTTTCCTGTCATGATTATACTTTTATTTCTTACCCCAGGCATAATAATCTTCTCTATATCTCCAAAGATGCTGTCCCAGCTGTCTGGGTCCATCGGGGCAGAATCCGGCAACTGGGCTCTCATGTAACCTGGCTGGACATCAGGAGTCACCCGTCTCTCTCTCACGTTGCTCAGGTACTGGCAAATGTAATCCACCATCTCTTTTCCTATAAGAGGCAAACCAGTGCCTTGAGTTCCTTTCAATGCAGGAAAGCTAACTGGTAGTATTAGCACTTCAGGCAATCTGTCACTGGCGTTGGACATGGCCTGTAACACTACTCCCAGGATAGCCCCAGTAACTAACCTTCCTCCTACACCCTACTTGTCCCACCTAACAATGCAGGGACTCGACTTCTGGAATATCCTTTGTGGGGAGAGAACAGATTCAAAGGCTTACTTCAGTGTCATCATCAAATAGTTCAAATATGCCTTTAAAATACAACCATGGTACAAGTACTGTTTGATTACAGAGAGGATAGACATGTTTTCTTGCCTACAAGTTAACTGAAACTGCATTTCACAGAAACTAAGTTTTCATAATGCCCCATGCTTCCCTATCGTTACAGCATACCTTGTAGTATCTTCTGAAAACAGCTGCATAGTCCACCCTTTCTCTCCAATTTTTAGGCAATCTCCTTCAGCCCCGGGACCAACGTCTGCTCCCCATCTCCAGGACCGTGCCAGCATCACTGAAGTTTCATGGCGCCAGCCAGGGAAGAGTCACCACACATAACCCTTTAGCATGTTTATCTAGAATCGCCATTTTGCAGATTTCCCACAGTATTTTAAACGGGAGACCAAAAGCCAAACTCATCCACTGACTCTAGATACATTAATTTAAACTCAACCCTGGGATGCATTTTTGTCTCGGCGTCAGCAGATCTAAGTCTCAAGGACCTGCGCACAGACAAGTATATAGCCCATCCTAATTTTCAGTTCCACTTCCAGCCCTACAGTGGTTAATCTCTGTGAGCAAATGCTACCTATTCGCAAGAGCAGAGGATCACTCACCTCTCCGTCTATACTCCTCAGGCTCCATGCTGATTCCTTCCAAAAGCACCTCTTCAAACCTGGGCCACGACCTTTCAGGAGCTGTGGGCAGTTTGGTCTGGTGCCCTGCCAGCCGCTTCACCCTTTATAGCTCCCTTTATCTCTCAGACTCACGCATTCTGGAAAAGGTTTAACGTAGGCAGGTTATTGGTGACTGTTTATCTAACTCCTCCCAACTGACAGCTTCTACAGCCTCTCATATGTTCTCATCTGTGCTCTTTTGATCTGTAAGATAGCGTATATCCAAGAGGAGCTGCCTCTGTGCTTGCCTTTTCCCATTTAAAAAAAATCTTGCGGAGTCTCACGCTAATCCCCGTCATGAATATAACACGTTAACGTCAGACTTGCAGAAGAGAAAAAGCTCAAGAGTTTCCAAACCCAAATAAAAGCAGCCATTTTAATCTAGCACGCCAAACTGCTGCACTAGCAGTAGTCATTTAAACAAGGCACCAGCACATTGGGCACTGCAGGTGAGGACTTTGTTTTTTTAAAAAATATTGTAGGACTGCATTTTCCCAAGAAGAGGTTATACCTGCATCCTTCCAAGTCTTAAATCCCTGTACTACCAGTCCTTTGCTGCTAGAAGGCAATGCATTGCAATTATTGCCAGTTCCACACTTGCAAGATGAGGCAGTGCCCCTCCAGATCAGAGCGGGTTACAATCCAGGATGACATTCCTCCACTGATGTCACTCTTGGTTGCTGAGCTGCGAAAAGACATCTTTTTCCCCACACCATGCTTGCTTTTCTCATATATGATATACATAAGCACTGAGATTTGGCTTTCTATCTCCAAAATTCCTCCAAGTCCTCCACATGGATCGTTCTCAGTTTGGAAGAAGAATCACATAGATTCTCCCTTGGTCCAGTTTTAGAAGCTGAAAACACATCCTCACCCATCTTTGGCAGCTCGACCTTTGACACTGTACTCAATGTTAAGGGTTTATCATCTTCACCAGAAGGAACCTACTTGTTCTACACCGATACCAAGCAGCCCTGGGAAAAGAGAGCAGCAGAACTTATGGACTAAGCACCAGAAAGAGAAATTATTATAGTACAATATGTGCCTGCCCTATTTTTGATATACCCTTGCTCCTGCTTAGGGCTGGCGCTGTTGGGGACAGGATTACCAAGCTAGGCAGCCTCTTCGTCTGATACACGACAGCAGTTTCTCTGTTCCCATCATACAGAAAACTGGCTGTCAGAGTAGCTCTGATTTTCTGCCTGACTTATTACAAAGCAGCCTAAATGCTTTCATTATTCTAGAAAGTTGTTACGCCTTTCTCCACAGCGTACTTCCTACAGAACACTGCAAAAATCTTTCATAGTTTCTGCCGCGATTAGATATTTGAGAAGGAACTGCTTCAGAGATATGACAAAGATGCTCCCATACGCTCACATCACATTAATATACTGAAATCTACAAATTCATTGAAAGAAGAAAAAACCCCATACTATATGCATATTGATCTTTGTTACCTCACATTTCCCTGGAAACACTAGGAAAAAAATAAGCTGCCCACACATTTCATATCGATTTATGAACCTCCCCTGGCTTCACCGTAAATGCTGCCCTAAAGGGGAACAAAGAAGGTGAGAAAGGACTGGAATCAAGCACAGGACCAACTTAAAAATACCTCAGAGTTCTCAAAACTGTGATTCTAGTTCATTCCAAGCAACTAATCCATTAATACATGGATGTTTGTTCGAAGAAAGCCGGTAGCTAATTACATTCAGGATTTCCATTTGGAACAGCAAACAAGGAGCAATACTTCTAACAATGTTTTGAGAGCTAAACCACACAACAAATATTGCCTGTGACATGCACCCTACACCTTTGCGCCAAGGTAGTATTTTCGTCAGGTTGGTTTCTCATTCTCTGCAGAAGAGAACAAACGGTAGGTCCTGTTCAGAACTCGAATAAAACAGCTGATAATGAACTACAGGCAGGGTAAATAATGCTGGTGATAAATAAATTTTTGTTATAGCTACCCTGCACTTGGAAGGATTTTGTTACTGAAAACAAGGAATAGAGTATTTGCTCACAGGAAGCAGAATTAATAGAAAAGGTTCGTTTCATTGTTTGCGACAAAGGTCTGTGTCGTCAAAACCGTGGGAAATCCTCCATTTGGACGTGAACATTACCACTATCGCTACTCGGGCTAACGCTGAAATTCTTATCATTATTAAGAGTTCACAGAGATTAAACCGTAGTTAAGTTTGTCGGATGTGAGGACACAAACGTTATTTTGATCACAGAATAATTCAATTGGAGCAATGCCTAACCAGCACACGTAACCTGACTAACTGGCTCCTGCATTCGTGAGTGACCTCATGGATAGTTTCTGGGGAAAAAAAAACAATCACCAAAAAACAAAGCAAAAAGTAAAATGCATCAATTTCCAGTTAGTCACTGTATAAGGCTTGCTTCAAGTCATTATACCAGCTAAGCATGACTATATCCTTGAAAATAATTCTTCTAAAAACCACCACACCATTCTTTATTATCTTTTGATTCTTTTGGGGTCAAATTTGCCAAATTTATACCAATACTAGGAACAAAAGCCTAAATATCCTAACTGCCAATTCCACAAACTCAAGTCGAAGCTTGAAAAAAGAAGAGTCTACTTTGCACACAATTCTTTCCCCCCTCCTCCCTCCTACCTTTGAGGGCCATTCGAAGCCTAAAACTGCTCGTATTTTTCTGAATGCCAAACACAGCAGAGCTTTGACCTTATAATGCACACACAAAACAAGTGAAATGGAATTGCTTCTACACCATATATATGTGGAAAAGATATTTAATTGTAAAATAGAAAAAGTAGGCCAGAGTACAGTTTTAAGGGTAATTCTTCTGTGTACAGTATAGGTAAACTAGACTTTTTGCTTAAGTTTATATAAACAATTCCATAAAAGCAGTGAAACATGGAACAACAAAGCAAAGCACAAAGAGTTTTATCTTACAAAAAAAGAATCTGCACAGTAGTTCAGAATTGAATGTAACACAGCACTGAACAATCTTAAGGCAGCTCAGTCTAAGCACAGGACTAGAAGCCAGGAACGCCTGAGATCTGTTCTCAGGTCTACCACCGATCGCCGTGGTCTTGGGCCAGTCATTTAACACTCCCCGTGTTGCATTTATACCAGTTATAAAATTGAGACAGTAACACTCACTTACCTGACTGAGGCAGTACAGTAAGGGTTCTTTAAAAAAGTTTACAATGCTCTGAAGATGCAGCGTGCTATATAAATCTTAAGCATAATAGACCACTGCACGGACGCACACAAACACAGTATCACAGTGAGGAACAATGATGCCAGGTAAGAAGAGCATCACTACAACATAAGAAAAGTCCTTGTCCAATTGCATAATTCAAATGCAAAAGTCCGGTTAGAAAAAATGTGTCACGGAAATAATTTCAAGGCTATTGGGGAAAAGCGATCAAAAGGAATATTCTAAAAGAACTACTATTTGTGTTCCAGTGGAGACATTCTTTTCAGGTCATGACTGAACTTTGAAATGTTTGTACAGGAAAATCATAAGACACACAAAGTGAAGTTTCAATGCCTCCACTACCAAATTTTAAATTTGCCTCTAATATGTAAATTAAGATTTTTTTTTTGTTCTTTTTAATTACAAATTACATTCTTCCAAGCAGTATATCATCCACAATAAAACTGGCTGCTATCTTACTTCAAATGACCTATAGGCTAAACATTTTTCTCGTAATTTTTTCTCATCTTTGCTGAAAAATACCTATGCAAGATGTATGTGTAGAAATTATAAAAACATGCAGCATATGTACAAACTGAAAGTTTAAAAAATATTAGCTTCATATACATGTAAATCTACTTGGATATATCTGAAATTAAATATAAAAATTTCACCACCTAAAATAAAAAAACAAAACCAAAAATGGTTTTCAGAGAATCTGAGACAACTACTTAAAGCTGTACAAAGATTTCCACGTGGAAATGTCTTATTCAGAGTTTAAGTTCTTATCATGGAGAAATAACTGTTAATTCATTTTGTCACATAATTAATTTTCAAGTTGTCATCCCAAATCAACAACATCACCCTTAAAACTGTTCTGTTTTTCAGAAGTTAGATTCATACTAAAATCAAAAGTTTCACAAAAAACATTGGCTTCTCATGTTTCTGGATCCCTTCAAAAAGATTTATCAACTCATTTTGAAACTGTAAAAAAAACAACTATTTACAGTATTTCATTTTAAATACTTTTCACAATTTCTAAATTCAGAGTTTTTATGTTACAAGAAATCCACCAGAGCTCACGGCTTAAGTCCAGTCAGCTTGTAGCATCTTCTCTATCATGTAATCCTGTGTCTGTACCTATATAGCGTACAGTTCAAGATTGTACTGCAGGTTTTTGAAAGCAACACACTTTGCAGTATGTTCATTTTTTATTAAACAGCTTCCTTATTAGTCTGGAGGCGGTTCATTGCCTCTAACTTCTGCCGATAGGCCTCTGCTTCTTGTTCTTTCTTTAGAAGCTGCTGACGATATTTTTGTGCTTCTCTGTTTGCCTCATCCAGCTGTTTCTGAAGAGTTTCTCTTTCCTATTAGAAACAGAACCAGCAATATTTTGTCAAATACAAATCAAATACAAGTTAAAATGGCAAATACTCTTCCCTTAAAATGGCAAATACTCTTCCCTTCACATGCAGCTCAAGCGTTAAGGTATCATGCAGAAACTGCTCAGCTCTTACTGGGGCAAACCCATATGAATGTTGCTGTGTAAATTAGACACGAAGGATCACACCAGACACCTCCTCACAATAAGGCTGGAAGGGTAGATATAGTAAACTCCAGCTGCTTTAGCTGCAAAGACACCAAGCAAGTCTTCAAGGAAAAAGCGTGAAATAAAAAAGTGGAAGCACGGTGAGAAAATACTAAAGTACTATATGAACATTTCTCCAATGATTCAATTCCCTTTATCACTTTTTAAAAATCAGAATCCAATCTAGCAGGATGGTCCCTTTCTGTTGTGTTTCTATCAGACAGCACAATGAAAAACTGGTCCCCAACAGCAGTTTGCACTGGGGTGTGACAGTTGCCCACTCACCCAAATGTACACATAACTGGTTTCTAAATGAAGTGAACTGAAGCAAATGATGCTATGTAATCCAAAGCTGTAATCACATCCCTAAGAAACTACGTTTTTATGAATGAACGGGCATTTAGCTAGATAAGCTTTTTCAATTCCAAAAGGAGTAACTTAAGGCTCGATCCTGCACCCATGCTGGGGACAATAAAATGGTTTCCAAGCAAAACAGTAGCGGAAATGCCACTTCCTGTGAAGTTGCCTTAAAAACAAAGGAGAATGTGTTTCTACCTCCTGTGACGCAAGTACTGTAATTTTGGTTGGTGCTGCACGGAGCCCAACTGAAAAAGCAATTTGCTTGGAAAATAGTTCTGTTTTGATCTTCAACTAAGTACCATTTCATTAAAGTGCATCATACTTGTATGAGTAAGGTAGTATTTGATTTCAAATCACTCTTACGTAGTTTTTAAGTAACCACATGGGGTAGGTTTTCACAAGAAGCAAGCTATCTCCCAGAAAAATGAATCAGAGGCACAGGGAAAGTAAGCTGCCTTTCCACCTTGTTCCCATCCCAGAGTGCAGTATTACATTCCTGTTTAATATCTCAAACAGCTGAGAGATGTTTCTCCCCCCACACTCCCAGAACAGCATCCCTATTCTTCACCTCTTTGATGCACTGACATATTTTCATGGTCAGAGCCTGAAAATACAAAACACTGCCTCCCTTCTACTTGCTACTGTTCTCAGCACTTGTCAGTCTCATTTAGCAGTCACATGCTGTGCTGAATGTGCTGGAATATAATGACATGGGTGATTAGAGCATTGCTACCAGCAGCATCTGTAAGGCAGAAACAACAGGTGAAGGAGAGATGTTATTAACAAGTTATAAAGACTAGCGGTAACACAGAAGAAACTACATTAAGTGCAACTTGATTTTAGACAGGACTTTAAGAGCTGAGGGAAGCTAGCTAAGGTTTACTTCATTTGGAACGTGTGCTAATAAAATGAGAGCTCATCTGATCTTGCCTATTTGAAAAGGAAGTTCCGCTTTTGCCCCTGAAAAGTTGGATTGTCGTGAAGCAACTTTATGAATGACCAACCCATGCAGCAATTAGACTGACGAAAGCCAAATGAACAGTAAGAGCCTACATCTCAAAGGATCTGAAATACAGCAACGATGTCCCTGCACCAGTCCAACCAAAATGTACTGCTGTTTCTCAAAGTTATCAATGTAGCGTAAGAGGAGCCAACAGCTTACAGAAAACAGCCTCACGGAGTAGAATGGTGAAAACAGCTACAAGACAATTCTCAGGTAAGCAGACAAAACAGTTGATCCTGCTACTTGTGGAAAGCAACCTTTCTCTCTTGAGGGCACTGAGCTCTGGGATATTCCAAGCTGGGCATTATCTATCTTATGAATTTGTCACATAAAAAACCACCAGAAATCTAATACTGGCTGCTCTATCTACTGGGCTGCAGAAGAGTAAGAACCACCAGTAGCTCACTGGTCAGTGGTTCTGTGGTGCACTACAAAAAGCAAGGTGCTGTCACTACTACCGAGTGCCTACAGACTGCAAACACTTCAGGGGCGGAGAGCTTCTCACACCATACCTTAGGGAGCATTTTCCACAGAAGAGAGAAAGAAAAGCTTTATATCCAAAGCTTTTATATCCATACGGAGCATAGCACATTAAGGAAGGGACAGAAAAAAACGAAGTCTCAGTGGCAAAGGCAGGAAGATGAAACCAGTACCTACCAGACAGACCAACAATTCAAAGCACATCCAGTCCCTAAGAGGTGCACTTTTAAGGCAGTCACAGGTCCTAACCTAAACAGAATGAGCTATGGAACTGAAGTCACGCACACTATCTAACTAGGCAGTAGAAGGAAACCAAAGCTTCTGGGGAAGCAACGCAGTCGTACCGTGAACTGAACAGTGAAAACTGGTTCCTTAACTTTGACAGCTAGAATAGGGAGGACTACATCTTGTTTATTAATTTCACCAAATCCAGAAAGTGCTCTTAGGGCATTCTTTAGAACACAATGGAAAGTGTTCTAATTACCTGCAGTCCTTTTGGATCAGTATAAAAACCTAACAAGGTAAAAAATGAATTAGAGGAGTCTGAGTGCTCCTATGGAATCTTCAGTTTCATCGTGGCATTTTCTTCATTACATATAACTTTTCTTAAAAGTCTATATAGGTGGGCTATAGTCTATATTAGGGACACCTATAACTAAAAATAATCAAACTAAGCATTCTTTTTAACAACAGAAAAATAGGGATATGAATTCACTAATATATTTTATTTACAATTTTTTTTTAGTCTAATGAAATGATTGTCCTGGTTCTAACGTGTGTCACCTTTCAAACAAGCAACATTGAAAAAACAGTCAAATTCAAGAAAGAAGAGAAAAATCACTGTATGTTAATGAATTATGCATGAGAAAATGAAAAACAGAGTATCTGCATGACAGGTTTTTTTTGCTGCCATCCTAAGTTTAAAATATCAAACTGTTTAGGAAAACTGCTATCACTCTTCAGAATGAGCTGAAGTGTTTGAACTTAACAGAACCAAAAGTGAAAATCAAAACACACCATTACAACTTTAGTTGTTCACATTACTTTCACAGGATAGTTTGTCACCTGCACATGAGGTGACAAAGACTTTCAAACTACAGTTAACTGTTCCCACACTATGAATTTAAAGCAGCTGAAGAAGGCACTCTTAGCCTTGAATCAACTCTAAAACCCAAACAATAAAGGCTTTCTACATTGAAAATATATTTTAATGAGGAGAAGGATCCTGCTCCCTCCAAATTCAAGTAGCTACCACCTTCCGAGATGATGGAGTTCGAAGCAAACTGACTTTACATGCACTTCCTTAATGTCCCTGTTGTCACAGCAAGGGAGCACCACGCCCCTTGTGGGCCACAATAAGGCTCCTGAAGTCAACTGGCCTCTACTCAGAGGCAGGGGTCTGCACGGGCACTCCCAGTTGTACAGGAAAGGACAAAGGCCGTCCTCAAAACTTGCACTTTAATAGATAAAGTAAATCATTTAGACCAACTTCTTTTGATATTTGAGAAATGTGTTTAAAATATTTAAATTGAAACTGGTTATCTCCTTAAAAGAATTATTTGTACAGCTATACCAACAAGCTGTGATTAGGAACAAGTCAATTAATTCCTTAACCAATCTACATTTTTTTGGTCCTTCACCTAACAGAATTATTAAAATACTCAAGGAAATATAATTTCCTTTACGAATAATTCAGGCAGATGTTTGAAAGTGTGAACAAAACAAATGCTTTTATTGTAACAGTCATACATTTAAAAAAAAAATGCAGCAAGAAAATTTCAACTGTCATGATAATCTGTAATGACCACAAAGCTGCAAAAGCCAGAAGTATTTGATGTGACAACTTAGGACAGGGAAAGCAAGTGATGAAAGGTGGTAATTATTGTTATTAGACATGGATAACATATAGCACATATTGTACAATAAAAAGTATTTAATTAGGCACAACTGGATAATATGAACAGAAGTTGGAGAATACAAGTTTGATAAACGAAATATCATGGAGTTGACAAAACAACTTAGAGCCTAGTCAAGGCAAACAGCAATTTTTGTAAAAACTTTTGACTAAAACTGGTCAGCACAGTTAGAAGTAACAGAAGAAGGAATGAGATGGTTGACCTATAGTGGCTAATATAAAAAAACTACAATTTTAAATTGAATAGCTACATCTGTTTGTCATATATAAAAAGAAAAGCTCCCTCAACACTGTTAGGTCTTCTGCACTACAATTAAAGATGGAAAAAAAATAAAAAAGCACAGAGATGTGTAATAGTAAATTGCTCCAGAATTTAAAAAAGTGGGGCAGACACACGGATAAAAATTGACATACACAGAATCTCGCAGTTTCACATTTCCATTAACAGTTATCTAGATATCGTTAATGGAAAGGAAACACTGTTAAAAATATGATCTCACAATCAGGAAAAACATGCGGTCATAACGGAAACAGAAAGACGAGGGTACAGTACTCTCATTCACTGATAGCGGAAAGAGTCAAGTTACTCAGTAATGTATCAGTACCCAGTCTTAAAAACTAAGTGGTGATCTTCTAAGATACACAAAGAAATTCAGATACCATATACTTAAACAAGTGTCACATTTATGTGCATGACCAGTGGGTGAAGGAAACAGCCTTCATATATTCTTTTTACAACAGCTTTGTAAAAGATGAATTCCAATAACAGGGGAGGCTGAACAAGTTTCGTTTCACACACCTCATTCTGTGGTAACACAGAAATCAAACTCTAGAACAACGTAAAAAACCACAAGCAGATACTCAATGCTGAACACTTTGGTTAACACACATCACGTAACATACTCCTTACTTCTATTTCTGCAGACTCCACACGATTTTCAACAATCTCAATGCACTGTCTCTTCACCGGTGGTTCTTCACTTATGACAGTTTCCTCAGCAATGTCTGTTGCTGGAACTGTTAATACTGAAAACATATTGTACATATAAGGGCAATACTGAGAACAACATTTGCACTATGTAAAATTCATATAATTAAGTAATAGTATTAACAGCAATAAAGTGCAGAGACTTTCTCTTATGAAAACAGAACTATATAATCAAGTGGATTGTAAAGTCAGTATGCGAAAAATTTATTAAAAACTTTAGCTGCTTGTATGCTATTAAAGAAATTTTTTAATTCTTTGTTACTGAGGTCTATGTCACGTTGGTGTATTACTGTCATTTTTCACAAACAGACATGGAAGTGAATTGCAGCAGTTACCAGTTTGGCAATTCTGTAACTTACGAAGCAGAGCATTTTTATAATGTTTCTTAAGCAAATACTAAATACAAAACTGGCTTTCCATTTTGACTAATGAGAACACCTTAAGATAATCTGAAAACTCAGTAGTTATTAACCTTGAAGGAATCCCCTTTAGATCCCTTAAAGGATCGCCTTTAGGGATCTAAAGAAACTCATATTCTAATTTACTCATGCAATCACCTCGCAAACAAAGGTGGTAACTGTCATTTTAATTACCACCTACACACACTGGTGCTTTCTGCTAACTAGCTGTACTTGTTCAGACAGACCATGAACCGAACAATCTGCCTCCAGTGTACAACTCCTCAAGCTCCCCACTGGGAGCCCTCATGAAGAAACCAGAGAAAGAATGACTTTCGTAGCAGCAGAGCATCTTTAAAACAAACCACTCAAAACACACACACGTCACAAAACAGGACTTAGCACACGATCAGCTTCCACAGAGTGCGTGTGGCTCGACAGGACAATTTGTGTCACCCTGGCTTCACTGGTTCTGCCACCGCTTCTCTAAAACCTCAAGCACGTAAGACACAGCTTTTGTTGTGTTAAGAACACACTTTATGGGACTTGCACAGCTTGCCTCACGCAAGCCCCACCTCCTCACAGTATTTCCAGTATAAGTACGAGAAAATGCCTTCTGCTATACTTTAGCTTCTAATTTTCCTCATAAGTTTGCAAGAATCAAACTTACTGAAGGCAGAGCAAATAGTTATCACTTTTCCCTTAAATGTCTCATTTCCATTCAGTTTAGTCATTCTCCCATTCTTTCTCCTAATGCAAAGACTAAGCTGAAGTAGTAACTCACTGAACTGCAGTAGCTCATGTGGCTGAGTCTTTGCAATATAAGAAGTCAAAGACCTATTTAAATAGATAATTACGCAAAATTGTCCAAGTTATTTGCATCTAACAATTTATTATTATTACTGTAGCTAAAACAGTTCCTCAAGCCCAAATCGTACAAGTTTCCACTCACCTTGCTGTCCATCTGGCATGGTCACAATGATTGGCTGCCCTATGCCACTGGTGGGAATCGAATGCAGGTTCCCAAGCTGAATGCCGTCTGTAACTATAGTAATAACTTGCTGACCTCCAGAACTGACAACTTGCTGAATAGCACCATCCACAGACTCAGCAGTCACAACTTCTTCTGTGGCCACAACTATCAACAGATTAGTAAAGGAATTCAGTCAATTTATAAATTAAATTTTATGATTTCAAACATACTTTGGTACGGCCAAGAAAAAACTTCTTCTATATTTTTTTAAAATTCAATTGCCCCCCCACTCCAATTAATGAATAACTCCATATTATACAGAAATCTTTCACCAGCCCAACATAAAGCACTAACGGTTTGAAACATACATGCAACTCTGTCCTGGTTTACCTTGCTCAATATAATATTTCTTTTACTCGGCATGTTTCCTAATATACACAGCCCACTCAAAACTTGCACTCTGGGTTCAGTGCTAACATGACAGTTAGAACAAGATTTGGTTTTTAAGAACACAATGCACAACATGTACAATGCGAATGTTATTTAAGTTACACTAACAGCATAATAATAATAAAAACATTTAAACTTAAAGTAATAGCTTGAAACTACTCCTCAATCAGTACCTTGCCCGGTGTATCCCAGTCCTGACTTCTCTGCTTACCAAGAAGGTCCTCAAGTTAGTAACAGACTGAAGGACGTTTACAGAATCTTTTAAGTTTTGTCTGTACTACATGAGCACTTCAAACACAACCACAACCTTATTTATTATACAAAGTATGAAAGAGGACTAAAGGAAAAGTTCTCCAATTAAAATCTTTACAACTTGGAAGGAGAAAGATTAAAAACAGTAAAATTTTATGTATATACTTTTATAGGTAAGAGCAGTAATGAAAAATCCCCACTGAACTAAATATTCAAATTCATGATTCAATAATGAGTACACTACTGTGACCTCTCACAGTTCTGTATTACATCTATAAGTCAAGGTAAGATAAAGGAAAGACTGAATTCAGAACTACAATACATACCACAGCTTGCACTATATACTGTCTCTTGGGTCTCTCTCTACCACCCTTATTTTTTAAGACAACAAGATACTGAGACAAAGAACATCACTAGTAGCACAATCAAAGAATTTCAAGCACACTAACTCCATATTTTATTTGCAATTTGTCAGAACAAAAGCAAATCCTTTGATTTAAATAACAGACCCTAGAATGCTTCCTATCTGAAGAGATGAAACTAAAACCCTACAGACTGTGCTGTGATGCTCGAGATGAGAGAAGGTAGATAAAACCCTGAAGCTTTCATCTTTGAAGTTAATTACAATATAACACACACTCAAAACCCACTCTGTAGTTCAAATAATGAGTGCAGTCATTGTCTTCTGAAGATCTTTATGTTCAGAGATTACTGTACTATAGCACTGCTTAAATATTCAGTGTGTTTTTTCAGCAAACCAAAACACTAAGTCCTACATGAGTAAGTAGCGTTGTATTGAACCTGATTTGGCTTCCAAGCACAGGCTCAGCAGTAAGGAAGATCACCATCACAGAAATTCCAAGTTGCAAGTGCCAGTACTAGCTGCTGTGGCAAACGGCTCTGATCTTTCAGTTTCAAACTCGACATAAGGCTTTTACTTCTGGAAAGAAACACTATTAGGACTTCTTCAGACCTTGAAAGAAAAATGGAGCCTTCGTCTAAGTTATTCTATATGTAAGAAAAATTCCTGTAAATACAGTCCTTATTTCTTCCTAGCTCTACTTCCATAACTACCACGATTTCATGAGTTGAAGGAAAGTTGAAGTCATTTAAAATAGCAGCATTATTTTTTTCAGGAATCTCTGCATTAATGTGCGTTATTTTCTTCTGTGACATGTGCAGGGTGAAAACATCTGCACATGCAGCAAGATACATGCCTAATTCCAACACAAGCCTACCAAATACTGCATTCCAAATACACACCTTAAATTTTCTCTAATCCAACTCTGAGTTCCACATACACATTATGCACCACATCTGTATGTAACACAGTATTTCAATGTCACGAAATGGTATAGCTGCAGTTCGGTAATGCTCTAAGAAGCAGTAGAACAAAAGAACTGTATTAACAAGAAATCCTGCAGGATTTCAAAATACTTAGGAGATGAAAAGTCAGGTATATGTTGGGATGTAGCTGTCACGTCAGTAAATCTAAGAGTACAAATCTCCTCTGTATTTTCAGTGAAAATTGCATCCTTAAGAATTATGTAATCTGCAAGGGATGAATTCTGTGAGAATTTTTAAGTACTGAAGACTTCGGCCACGCAAAGTATCTGTTCTGTAAAATTTATCACACTGACCATTCCCAACAAAAAGGCAAAATAAACGCATTTCTTTAAAAGCGTTTTCAGAAACCTTCAGGTTACCATGAGCATTGTAAATCCTCGATGAACAGAGGATTGTTGCTGATCTCCAGTCACCAGCTTTAAAGTCAGGCTCATCTTGCTACATATCACTAGTCAGTGCTCAAAAATCCCAAGCTAGCTTGGAAATAAGGCCATAGTGGCACATATGAGTATACTAAATACTGTAAATATTAAACAAAAAAGCAACCTGGCCTACCTTACAACTTCAGTAGCTACAGACACACCTTGCTGCCTGAGAAAACTGGGGAGCAACATATGCAAAACAGCACTGGGCAAAAGAACAGATGTTTATACTCAAGTACAGCATATAGCCTGCTTCAGACACAAAACCTAGGGATTTCTGGGTCCCAAAATTAGATAACAAAAAAATTAATACAGCACTTGACCTCCTAAGTGCTAGCTTTACCTGATGTTTTACACAATGGCAAGATACTAACGTACACCATAACTGGAAAATACAGAACTGAAATTTAGTGGCATCCTCTTATAAAGTAACTTTCAATAATTCAGTAGCTTTTATAATCATATTTTAACTTTATTGCAGATGGTATCACAACTTGCTTAAATTATGAAAGGAGGTCTTTTCCTCGCTTTTATCTCCTTTCTTAAACCTCTTAGTGGTAATGACTAGTCTTTATAATCCACTCCGATGCTGTAAAATTCCTCACTGCCATTTCTTTCTTCACTTTGCTTGTTGGAATGAACAAAAGTGAAAAAGTAAGCAAAGTAGGCAACACAGTACTCAGAAAGAATGGAGAAAGACATCCAGGGCAACTTGCAGAGTATGAAACCTTGACCAAAGGGGGGTTTTTTTCCAGACAAAGAAGTAACTGGCAAAGATCCAGGGGGCAGGGGTGAAGGGTTTTTCCATTAGGGAAGGGGAATGCAAAACTCAGGAACTAGGGGTGATGGAATTCCCTGGGCCTTTCTGTCTTCTTGTCATAGGCTTACAGAACAAGCAAGCGTGCCTACGGCTGCAGCGAGGGGTGCAGACTGCTGCTTCCTACAAGAACAGTAATGTCTTGCTAGGCTTACATTTGCCTGCAGTTGCCATGAGAGCTTATCAGCCTGAAGTGGGACATACTAATCGCTACATACTATTATAAATGCTGAAAAGACGACCCCTAGACATTCCAATGGCCAAACTGTACATTAAGATCACCAAACATTCTTGTGTCAAAGTATATGGAAACAACATTGGGGGTCATTTCCCAATATTTAACGGAAAGAAGCATTCAAAGAAAGCATTCTCCCGCCACATGCAACTAAACTACACATAGACAAAGACATAAATTGGACCTCCTGAATCGTGCTTTCTTTCAGCAAAGTAAGCACTATTCACATTAGGCCCAAAAATACCAGTTCGTGGTCAGAAATCTTACTAAGAAATAATTGTACATATGAATCTGGCAACATTCCAGGTGAAAGGAAAGAAAAATCTTTGTTCATGCTTAAAAAAGGAAGACTGTAATCTCACTTCTGTATGAAGTGTATCTCCAAGAAGCACCATTTGTGTACTTTTAGTTTGTTAAACGGGTTGAAATGACTTAGCTTTCTAACCTGGTGTTTCTGAAGAATTAGACAGTGGAGCTGATGCTTCTGCTAAAGCTGCCAACGTGGCTAACACTGATGTTGATGAATTTCCAAACTGTACAGCAGACACTCCTGTTTCATCTAGTAGGATGAGAAAAAAAAAATAGTGGGTAAATTTAAAATCAGTGAAGCCCTCTTTTGCTATTGCACTGAGGCTTCTAACACACACTATTTTCTCAGCAACATTCTGCTGAGACAAATTGTTACTCTGAAGGCAAGTTTGTTATGCAAATACAACTTCTGATAAATTATCTCTGAAAACTGTTCTTTTAAGTACCTCGATATTTACAACACACAAATGAAACTGAAAAGGAACATGGCAACTACTCTATTCTTACCACTGTTTTTCCTCAGCTTTTCACTAAATGGTGAAAACTAGTTAAAAGTACAAAATCCGAGTAGCTATCCTATAGGCATCTAAATACCTGTTCCATTTGATGTATTTGCAGAAGATACCAGACCTGTTAGGTTCACCACCCCTCCAGGTCCAATGATGAACTGCGGTGTTGCTGCATGTATCGTCACAGTGTCCGGACTCTCTGGATTTGTATTGATTTGGTTCTGCATTGCAATCTAGGAGACAAAGGTAATCATATCATTCTGATTGTAGGTATAAATAAATTATTTACCTCGTCAGAACTAGAATTATTGCACGCTATACTCAAGGAAGGACCTCCCTCATTGTACTTGTGCAATACACATGTTGTGTCACATCCTACGTTCCATCTAAGTACACAAGAAACATTTCTGGGGGCTCATATCTTAAGGCAAAAATTCTGTTGAAGGGGAAGAGAAGGACGACAGACCACTTCTCCTTACCATTTACTGTAAACAAGGAGGACCATATAAAGGCAAGGCCCTCTTGTAGATAGGCAAGCTCACATATCTAAAACAGAGGGCTGAAAAAAACAATTCCTGTGGCAGCTAAATGTAATGAAATCAGCTCTGACAGCTTAGTAATTGCCATGAATTGTAGATGGCAGTTGTCTTTTTGTCTTTCTCTGAATTATTATTGACTTCTATTTATTATATCCCCTCTGCAAGGAAAAGGCTAAAGGAATAGATCAGAAGTTCACACAGTTCAAGATGTAGGGGAACAACAGATTTATACAGTAGCATAATGATATTTTTCATTTGCTTTCTCTTCTTTTCTCAGTAATGCTTAGCACTTCATTTTTGCCTTTTGAGAACAGTATTGAATGGTGAGCACACGTTTTTCCATGGAAGTATTTATTATAATCTCAATCCTGATGATTGCAGCAATTCAATCCAAGCTATAATAAACCAGAAAAAATTGCTATATCTTCTTTCCTCTATTAAGCTCCAGTTGTTAGGAAATTAGTATCCATATATGAAGCTAATTGAACATTAGGGTGTAGTCAAAACATAGTGGTAGAGTAAGATGTTTATTTTTACACCTGGCTTGTGAAGACTCCATCTATTTCCCATGTGTTGCCTGATCTAGTTGACTGGAGTCCCTGCCCATGACAGGGAGGTTGGATTAAATGACCTCGAAGGTCCCTTCCAGCCTAGGCCATTCTATGATTCTGTGTACTACAACAACGAAATTTAAGGAAATAGACCATAGTTATTCTTGACTTTGTAGGCGGTGAAAATGTTCTTCAGTCAATTAATGTTTGCTAACACTAATCTCATGAACTAGACTGGAGTTTAGCATTATCAGGCAACATACAGTCTTAGAGCTGCTACATTAAAAGCTTAGTTTATCACATGCGTAAACAGGCACTTTCCTCTAAGTTCTCTTAACACCAGGAATCAAAAGTTACCTGTAATATTTCGGCAAGGTCTTCATTTCCATTGTCTACTGCAATATCTAATGCCGTTTTGCAAAATTTACTCTGAGCATGAACATCTGCTCCATACTTTATTAAAAGCTCTACAACTTCTTGGTGGTTATGTTCAGTAGCCCAGTGAAGCGCAGTCATTTTGAGCATGTCCTTAGCATTGACATCGGCACCATGCTGCAAACAAGACCATTGCATAAACCAGGTCATTGGAAGTGTCAGAATTAAATAATATTGGTCACAGAATGAATCAGTAATGCCCTGTTATCTTACATCTACAGATTTATTAAAACTACTCTAAGTTAACTACCAAATGAACTATTTACCTCGAAGGTTTAAAGACTCCCTAAAACGTAATACATCTTGGTTCTAAAAGCTGTTACTCGCACAACATCAAATTAAGAAGTAGTCTTATTTTGAAACAACAAATAAATAATTCACCTGAAATCACAATGACTTTAATGCTAAAATAAATTACAGTTTAATGGGAAAAGAAAACACTCAATACAGGTAGTATAAATATTCGTATCACTTCAACACTGCTTTCATGACTAAGAGGAAATCACAAACATTTGATCATAAACAATTGTAATATCTCTGCCTCAAACCTCGTGTCAGCAGTCTTTACCTTAAGTAAGACTTCTACTATGCTGGCATGGCCTTCCGATGCTGCCATATGTAATGGAGTCCTGTCCACTTTGGTTCTGGCATCCCGACTTACTCCTGCTCGCAGCAACACTTCTGTTGTTGAGTAGTGTCCATACTGTGCTGCTAGATGAAGTGGAGATGTTCCCAGCTGTAACATAACAGAAAAAGCGGAGTTTTAGCAGATATCAGGCCACCACTTCAAAATAATTTTCCCTTGCAATCTCAAGAAAAGAAGCTATTTGGGGTTTTACAGAGTATGAAGAGGGGAAACAAGTAGTGTATTGGTATTTTTCAATAGTTGCAATACATTAAAAGCTGCTCACTGGAGGCAACTTTTTAAGGTCTGTGCTACAGTTTTTCTATCTTTTTGAGGTGTGATGTTTTGAGAGGCCTAATCCCATCTTTAGTGTTGGTCAGCATGTCATACCAACATTGGAAGGAACCTCTGGAAGTCACTTAAGTCCAATCTCCTGCTCAAAACAAAGCCAACTTGAAAGTGGGGTCACTAAGTTGATTAAGGCTCTTAAGGGCCTGCAAATACCCCAGAATTGTAGGTACCCGGACTCCCTACACAAGCTACTCAAAAACAGGCACCTCCACGAAACAATTCAGAGGCCCTATGTCAGCGAACTCTCAGTTGCAACTGAGTTGGAACTGCTTTCTTAATTCAGGCCTCTTAGTATATTCTAAACATAAGCACATTAACTAGGAGGATGATTGAGCATTCCAACATACATCCTAAAAGCCAGCAGAATGAGTTTATTCACAGCCTGTTACTAAAATTGGTAGGACGTCATATGAAGAAACAGGCAATTTTAATTTTGAATTAGACACGTGACTGCAGAATTCCAAGAAGAAACACTCAAAGCTTGCAATAGAAATGCTTAATTGTAATAATCCTATTTTCTTCTTCAAGTGAGATAAGCAAAAGGATTTACTGAACACTGCAAATGGTTTCATTACCCAATCTGTGGTAAAAGGCGCTCCATTTGCCATCAAAATGCGAACTTCATCATCTTGACCTGCACGTGCAGCTTCTAAAAGTTTCTTTCCCAAATCTACTAGTGACATCTAGTGAAGAACATAAAGGAATATGAAGAAAAAATAACATTAATATTATTTTAAGTGCACAACTGCCATTGACATTTTTAACATTATTATTTTGAAACTACTCCAAAAAGTTCAAAAACTCAAGCTAGTATGTTAGCTATGACAAAGGCTTTATTGATTGCAATAAACAGCTTGATTTTAGAGTTACTTTCGTCAGCTAAAGCTGACACCAGGGTGGAGATTTCAGTACTACAGTGCTGTAACCACAGCAACTGCAGAGTTATATCAAACTAAACTGAACTGTATGCACACTTCTTACAGCAGAAAGGGGTTTAGAAGCTCTCACCCAATACTGCAATGCTCTGTAGCTTTGTCCAGCTTTCAAATGGTATTACATCATGGCTGTTATGTCACACACCCAGAGCTACTACACTCACCTAGCCAGAATGTCTACATGTATTTAAAAGGTACCACTATGTAAACGCATTTAGCCAGATATGAAAGACAACACCTTTCTAACATCTTGTCCATCCCTATCACATCATTTTGTTCACCCTAAAATAGTTTCCTAGCTACAAACTGACACAAGAAGCATGTATTTTAGTACTACATGCATGATATATGAACTGTCTGCCTGAAAACAAACACTACTACCTGCTTCAACTGTCTACAGTTACTAAAAACAAGAGCAAAATTCTGAGACATAACCAAGATACCAGACAAAAAAATTTCAATCATCTATAGCTAATCTCCCTTTTACAGCACTCAAAATTCCTTATAATGCAGAGCATGCAAAACTATATTTCTGTTGCAAAGATTTTCTAGTATAACATATTTTAAAGCCACTCTATTTCAAATATGCTATTAAATTTGTCAAGTAAAAGGAAAATTTAAAACTAAAGCATAACTCACGTTACTAACCGAAATATATCATTAACATTTTAGTCCTACACCTATGTTTTCCACTACTAGGACATTAAGAATGGAATTACTTTCACCAGTTTAGTTTCCAGTCACAAGACAAGTTAAATGTCTATTACTAATAAGAGCAGTTGCAAGGCCATGCAGCCAATTTCCTAAACAAGGTTGGACTACATCAGAAAGAAATCCCATTAAACACACTTCTATCACAAAACCAACCTATTCAGAAAGTTCTCCGCACCTGACTCAACTGGCAAAATCTTTCTGGTAGATTACTCGATATGCTGAGAGCTATCAACTTTGGAAGAAATTAGGGAGATAGAAAGACTGCAAATGCAGAACTCCAATATTTATCAACAGAGCAATGAACTGGAGCAGTTTTCGGCTTTGCCTACAGAACTAACTTCAGGAAGCAACAGCCCCTTCACCAAAATACTACATTTATGTCAACCCTTCTAGAATACACGGATATGTTGATTCGTCTCAAGCCAGAAAAGGGAAGAGAAGCAGGAAAGTGGCAGAACAGGACAAATACTGACAATGGGAAAGGGAAGGAAAAAAAGCACAGAGTCAGATGCAGAGGAAGGGACAACAGCCGACTCTCTTCCACAAAGAAAAAGAGCAAAAGAGAACGAGGAGTAAGACAAAATCTACTATCCCTGTTAAATGAAGACACTAAGAGTCATGACATAAACCAATAATAGGACAGAGGGGGCACTTGGCAAGTGCAGCAATGACATGAAAGAATACAGCACGCCCTTTATATGGCACCCTTCTTTATGCAGGGGGAGAGATGGGAGAGGGACAGGGGCTGCAATTTAATAAGGAGGCGAGCACATACAGAAACACACACTTTTTCTGATGGTCTAGTATCACCACGGCAAGACCCTCTGAAGCAAAAGGAAAGCTGGAACTCAATGCAAAATACTGAAGCTAGGAACTAAATCGGAAAGACTAAAATTAATTTTCCTTGTATTTATTTTTGTTTTAATAACCAGTAGAGAAAAGGAACTAATAAGGTCTCCTTTTTGGAGTTACAGAAGAACTGAGGCTGGAGGAGACCTCTCAGGGTCAGCTAGGTCAGCCTCCCAGTCACAGGCTCAGGTTACGCAGGGCTCGGTCCTCTCGACTTTCCAACACGGCCATGGATGAACATCGAGCCACTTCTTCAGCCTCACTCCAGTGCCTGACCACCTGCATGGTAAGAGCTGACTTGTGTATCTACCAGTCTTTCTCCACTAACCAAAGACAGCCTTCATAACTAGCTTATACTTGATGTCTGTTAAACAAAAATAAGTGAATTAAATTACAGTCCATACATTTAACAACCACACCTATTCAGAGCTCACTGACCACATCCATACCGCAAAGTTGTTATCAGAGCCCTTTATAAAAAAAAATCAAACAGAAAAAAGAAAAAAAAAAATCAGTTACAGTGGCCTGCAAAATACAAGTCTCGCTCCCAGATGTTGGGGACAAACTTCAACACCTTTGAACCACTACTGTTGAACATAAAGTGATTAGTTCTCACCTCAATGCAAAGCTAAAATAGCTTTGTACTACACTCAGAAAGAAATGTTCTCATCAAGGAAAAAGGACATAGAACATCATGCCTGAAGTAATCTTCATTACCATGTATTACATACATTAATCAATACTCCCTTAGTTGATATAAAATGTTTTTATTTTAAAAAAGCACAAAGCATCACAGAAGTTTACATATGTTTCATGATGTAGAATTTTAACTTCAGTTGAAACAGCATGAATTTATTTTAGAAATTAAAGTTTCCGTTCTCATGGGTTACCTGAAAGCTAGCTTGGGCCATCTAGTGGCAGAAAGTTAAAAACCTAGCAAAATTAAACCGCTGAACTCAAAAAATCACATTATATGTCAGTAATGCACTAAACAGCAATTGAAGAGGCCTTTCAACAAAACTCCTGCACATTTAGTCATTTTTAACCAATAAATACTGGTATTCACAAAATTTCTCAGCCCAAAGCTTATTTCTACATGACAGATCATTCCAAGGACCAGTACTGTAAGGTCAGGAAACCCTTGTGTAATACCGTGCCCCACACTTCCCCCCTACTTCTTCACTGCTACTGCCGGAACGTACCAAGAAGGTTCTGCAGTATCAGAATTTCCCTCTCTACCCTTCCCAGAAAAATTCTTCAGCTGCTCTCAAGATCATTTAGTAACACCACAATAAGCACAGTGATACCATCAAAAACTAAGTTCTCTATATAGTACAATAAAATATTTTACATTTAAATGAGATTTCCATTTCAAGGCAGTACTCTTAGTTCAGTACTGCTGCTAGTCCATGTAGTGTCAGAGCGTAGTCTCCTGTAACTGTCACTTCTATCGAGCCCAGCTGGCACAACAGCTGGGTAGTGCTTCACGAGAGGATTCTTTCAGACAATAAAAACATCACTGGCTCTGAAATAAAGTCTTGGGCCTGTGACAGTTATTCTTACGACAACCTGAGTATGCATTCAGACTTCTAACAGCTCCTAGACAACTGCGTGAACAGAGGGTTTTGTCTACAGTTGAGCAAATAGGGAAGAGTTTCTGCTGGGTTTGGACTTCTTTGCATTAACCACCTCCTGAACTTCCGCATTTCACCACTGCAGTGCATTCTCAGCAGTATCATTAGTCAGATGCCAAAATTAACTGGTAATTAAAACTTACATCAAATTATTATTGCTATTTTACTCCTGTTCAATAGGAAACCATGCTGCTTTTTTGTGACCATCTCAGATCTAAGTTTTTATACATTTTATAATATTCTGAACATCATGCTGTTACCAGAGGGGTATATAACAGCGCTCGATCCGAGTTCACGTGAAACTGTGCACGTAACGGGCTCTGTGGTGAGGAAGAGAAGCTAAAAAACACACAGCTTGGGGAGCCTGACTTACCACACCACAGCCTACAGACACCAAAGCAGCAGAGTCTGGAGTGCAACAAAAGATGAAGTTTGGCTTAAAATTCCCAACACCTTTCAGGGTTGTGTCCTGTCCCAAGGATCCCAGAGCCAGTCTTACTCCCCTTCTACCCATCACTGCAGCGGCAAACATCACATAGTCAAAATCAACAGGTACAAAACAGTTGCCACAAAATATCTACTAACATGGAGTTCTCACAGCTACCAGTGTACTTCTTTTCAAGGTACACTCCTAAAAAAGACATACTTACACTAGAAGACCATGGGCTGCAGCAATGCAATTTACCAGAAGGCAAACTGAATCAATATATACCTTATGTATTATAGGCATTTGCAATCAGTCCTAAAAATCCCAGGACAAAGTTCCACAAAATGCTAATTAAACAGGTTTCCTAAAGTGACATGCAGCAGAACTGGATGACAGCTTGTGACCTATTATCTCTCTCACTCATAACATGTGGAAAAAGAACATCCTTTTCAGAATGCCTTGTGTCTTCCACTATTTAAAAAAAAAATAATAATCAACCTGCTTGGCCAGAGCAGATCTTCAGAAATGCTATCATCCTACTGATTTCAACATTGCACAGTAATACTAGAAACTTAAAATAGATACTTCTAACTAATTTTATATGCCTATCTATATTAAGGTCAAATATATTTTTAAGTACAAATAGTTTTAATAACTATTTACATATTTAATGACACAATCCGTTACAACCATTATTAGAATTGAAATAACAGGATCAACTTTTATTATTTTTTTAATATGCTTATATAATAGTGCAATAATCAAACTCAGAACAACTCTTCAAAAAGTTTATTTCAATTACAGTTTTATAACTTTTAAAGGCACCAACAAGTCTGCATCAAACCTAGGTATGTTTCCATATTCTAGAACTTCTTAAAAACTTTGGTACAATTTCACCATATATATCGTTTAATAGTGACCATAGTAACTTACATGGGATAAATTCAAGGAATTCCTGTGCTGTTTCCTAAGGGAACTCTATCCTTCCAAATGTATTTTGACAATGATTTCACATGTCATATCTCAAATCTTAATATAAATATTGCAGCCTTAGAGTATCCAACTTTCTATGATAATGAAGATTACACTAATGTATTAATAGCAGTTGGCTTTAGCTTTCCTCT